CCATGCTTTGAGAACATAAGTCCTTTTCCAGGCGCAGACTTCAAATATCTAAGTATCCGAAGAACTGCATTCATGTGGTCTTCACTTGGAGAGTGCATAAATTGACTGACAACGCTCACTGCATAAGCAATGTCTGGTCGAGTATGTGACAAATAGATCAATCTTCCCACTAACCTTTGGTATCTTTCTTTGTTAGTTGGAACTTGATTCGGATATTCTCCAAGATGATGATTCTGAACAATAGGAGTGTCCGCAGGTTTGCAATCTAGCATTCCTGTGTCTGTCAACAAGTCCAAGACATATTTCCTTTGAGAGAGAAATATGCCTTGCTGCGATCGAGCCACCTTAATTCCCAAGAAATACTTGAGTCCATCTACTCATGTGGTCTTCACTTAGAGAGTGCATAAATTGACTGACAAAACTCACTGCATAAGCAATGTCTGGTCGAGTATATGACAAATAGATCAATCTTCCTACTAACCTTTGGTATCTTTCTTTGTTAGTTGGAACTTGATTCGGATATTCTCCAAGATGATGATTCTGAACAATAGGAGTGTCCGCAGGTTTGCAATCTAGCATTCCTGTGTCTGTCAACAAGTCCAAGACATATTTCCTTTGAGAGAGAAATATGCCTTGCTGCGATCGAGCCACCTTAATTCCCAAGAAATACTTGAGTCCATCTACATCCTTCATCTCAAACTCTGTAGCCAGATAGTCTTGTAGCTGTGATATTTCCTGTTTATCATTCCCAGTAATAATCATATCATCAACATAAATTATTAATGTTGTTACATTCCCTTTCCGATATTTCAAGAACAAAGTATGATCTGAGTTGCACTTCTTCATTGCCATGGTGAACCTTCCAAACCATGCACGTGGTGACTGTTTCAACCCATACAATGCTTTTCGTAGCCTGCAAACTGTTCCAGTCTGAGTAGTATTATAACCAGGAGGAATGTCCATGTACACCTCCTCCGTGAGTTCGCCATGTAGAAAAGCATTCTTTACATCAAACTGGTGTAGTGGCCAATCCAAATTAGCTGCAAGAGACAATAAGACTCTGACAGTGTTTAACTTTGCAACTGGAGCAAAGGTTTCTTCATAGTCTATACCATAGGTCTGTGTGTACTCTTTTGCCCCAAGTCTTGCCTCGTATCGCTCGATAGATCCATCTGCATTGTGTTTTATAGTAAACACCCATCTACATCCGATAGTATTTTTTTCTCGTGGTATAGTTTCCAATGTCCAAGTCTGATTTTTCTCAAGACCTTTCATCTCTTCTTTTATAGATTGGACCCACTTAGGATCTTTCAATGCGTCAGAGACCTTGGTTGGAATATGGATAGCACACAACTGATGCACAAAAGCCTTGAGTGGTTCAGACAGCTTCTCAGTAGATACATGATTTGCAATTGGATACTTGAATGTTTTGCCAATATCAGGTGAATAGCGGTTTGGTGGCTTCCCACGATTTTGCCTGAAAGGTAATTGATATTCAATAGTTTTATCCTCTAAGTGCACAAGTCTAATAGGACTAGTTACCTCAAGGATATTCTCAGGAGATTGGTCTGTTGGTACTGTTGAGTTAGATGGGGGTCTTCATCTTGTTGTTCTGTATTGTCTGTAGGTGTGAGACTCGGATCAGAAATATCTTTGTATGGATTAGGTGGGTCAGGTAATTGATCGCTATGAATGGGCGATTGGTCGTTTTTCGGCAGAGAGTAATCTTATGCTCCAGACTCAGGATGATCAATCATTTCTGTACATAGGAGAATTTCTTCGTTTTCCAAGTTGCTCCAATTATGCGCTTCATTTCGTATCTCCACCTGAAGCGTAGAATTGGATGATGGGTCATGGAAGAACAACTCAGATTCCAGAAAGGTCACATCCAAAGTGACATAGATACGTCGGGTAAAAGGGTGATAACAATGGTAGCCTTTATGATGAGTGACATAACCCACAAAAACACAATGAAGCGCACATGGATCAAGTTTGCTACATTGATTTTTGTGGAGATGAACGAAAGCCACACATCCAAAGATTCGGGGTGTGAGTACCAAAACAGAGGGCAGAGGTCTGTGTTGCGCAAGTACCTGTAAGGGAGTTTTAAAGGTCAATACACCAGAAGGCATGCGTTGATTAGGTGAACTGCAGTGACAATAGCGTCATCTCAGTGATGGCGAGGAACATGAGCGCCAATCAGAAGTGCTCGGGCGGTTTCAAGAAGATGTCGATTTTTTTGTTCAACAACACCATTTTGTTGCGGTGTCTGAGGACAAGTCGTCTCATGGATAATTCCATGTTGTTGGAAGTAAGTC